TCGGACAGGAGTTGACAAGTTCGTGGATAAGTTAACGATCAATTTCCCGTGAACAACAAGATTATCGTTCGATTTCTTCAGGTCTCTTGTAAGCATCTCTGTGAGGAGGAGTAGTTAGTAACCGTCTTTGATATCAAATAGGAGTATAGCTTTGGGAGTAAGATAATTCACCATCGTCGCCAACGTCTAAGTCTATCACATCCCCAATGCGAACGTTGATAACACCTAAGAAACCCTGGTCCTTCTTCTTGAACTTCTTTTGATCGAAAATCTGAATAGCAAGAATGGAATCTTCGGTGACCCTCCTGGTTATTGACAAAACCTGGTTAGATCCAGCGCCACAATACAAGGTGAATCAAACAGGGCTTAATGGTGTGACGTACAGGTCAAAGACTTCATTCCAGTATGGGTTGAGGGTTTTTTTGATCACTGACGTAGTGTGAGTTTGTTCACCACCAACCGTGGCTACTGCAAAGGGATCGGGGAATCCTGGATAAGAAACAGTGCAGTGCCTGCTGTCAATATGGAGTATTTCTCTTCACAAATGCCTCTATCTTCCTATCGCCCTTGGGAACCTGCTTTTCGAGACGGAAGGAGGGTCCAACTTACGGAAAACATCGCGTTTGTACAGCCCATCAGCAGCGATGACTTTAGTTCTTGGTCAATATAGGGAATATCACTGTGAACGGGACGAAGGATGGATGGATCCTTACTTGTGACTCTGAGATTTGGTTGACTGGCGGGGCAAAACGGATTAGCGCATCATCTCATCAGACAAATGGTGGCAAGGTAGAGATGTAGATATTTATAGCAAAAGGAGACAGGGACATACGCAGGCAAGTTGGAACCCATTATGACGGCAATCCTAACTCAGCAGGCCGTCTCCGTCTTCAGGACGGTGGAGATATATGCTGAGGGGTGGCTGGTGGAGGCTCACATCCAGCGGGGGAGGGAGCAGCAACAACAGCAGCGAACCCCAGAGCAGCTAGATAGACGTAATCTTGAGGAGTCGACAGCGAAGATGTATATTGATGCCTGGATGCAGCGAACAAACCGCCGAGATAATTGGCGTGGCCGTAGGTGTAGATGTAGTAGCAGTAGATGTCGTTGTTGGTGGGCAGGAGGCTCAAAGATGTCAGATGTACGGAGTACTTGTCTCCAAGCCCGGCGTGGGAGCCGCCAACTGAGGCTGAGCAGTGGAACGGGCCAATTGCCGGCCGCAGCACTGGGGACATCGGTGGCGCGCCGAGCAGGGCCAACTTCGCACAGGCCTCGTTATCAGTTACGGGGTATGGAGTACGAGGGTCGAGGAATTGGAATTGGAATTGGCTTGGGCTTGGACTTGAAGTTGTTGCAATGCCACAAAAACGATGGCAATGGTTGATGCTTGCAGAGAACATCCTGACAACTGCCGCCAACCGAGCCCTCACCTCGAGTTGCACTTTACCGCACATATGGAGATCAGGCATTTGCATACTACAATTAGTATCTACCTCATGAGATTTCAGTTTAAATATGCGCTTGACCTCCATTTCTCTATGTTTATTTGAGTTGCACAGCAACCATCAGAGGGTCCTGCTGTATGATGACGAGATATCCCCGGTTTCAAACTGGAAACGGTTGTTGACACATTATCAGCATTGAGCAAAACAGTACCCCCC